TGGGCAGCGTGAAGGGGCTAGGGAAGAGTCCAGTAAAGATAAGACCATGAAAACAATGTGCTTCAGACTCAAAAAAATGCCCTTCCCATGATCAGTGGAGCCATGTTCTATGCATACAATCGTCACTTTGGGGAATGAGTTTATAACGTTCAGTCTGGAAGATAATAAGGAAATGCTGGGATAGCGCATGGGTGGCTCACTCCTGTAATCCCAGCACTTTGGGAGGCCAAGGCAACAAGACTGCTTGACCCCAGGAGTTCAAGACCAGCCTGGGCAACATAGTGAGACCTCAGCTCTCCAAAAATAAAACAATTGGCCAGGTGTGGAGGCACGCACCTGTAGTCCCAGCCATTCGGGAGGCTGAGGCAGGAAGATCACTTGAGCCTAGGAGATCTGGACTGCAGTGAGCTATGTGATGGCAACACTGCACTCCAGCCTGGATGACAGAGTGAGACCTCGTATCAAATAAATATATATAACATTATATTTGTATGTTATATATAATATGTATATATATACACACACACACTGGGAAGAGCAAAAATGAAGAGAGATGTGAGAAAATTGTATTTGCAGTGAAATTTAGCCATGGCTGCTGTTCTTGGTAGATGTTAATAATATATTTGTATATTATACATTATATTTGTATATTATATAATATATATTTTTTATATATATACATACACACACACATACTGGGAAGAGCAAAATGAAGGGAGATGTGAGAAATTTGTATTTGCAGTGAAATTTAGCCATGGTTGCTATTCTTGGTAGATGTTAATATTTGTGTATTATGTATATTATACATTACATTTGTATATTATATAATATATATATACACACACATACACACACACATACTGGGAAGAGCAACATGAAGGGAGATGTGAGAAATTTGTATTTGCAGTGAAATTTAGCCATGGCTGCTGTTCTTGGTAGATGTTAATATTTGTATATTATGTATATTATACATTACATTTGTATATTATATAATATATATATACACACACATACACACACACATACTGGGAAGAGCAACATGAAGGGAGCTGTGAGAAATTTGTATTTGCAGTGAAATTTAGCCATGGCTGCTGTTCTTGGTAGATGTTTGTTGATCAACTTATTACATCTCTGATAACACTGATGGAAGTGAACTGAGATACATGTTGGAATTTGAGTTTTAGAAGCCTAGATATGTAGTATACAAAGCATGGAGGCTTTGGAGTCTATGTAACATGAATTGGCATGGTTTTTTTTGTTGTTTGAATGTTTCCTTTCTGCTTAACTCTGTTTATAGGTGGAAGAAAAAGTGTGTGTTTCTATGTGTGTGAGAAGTGAAATAACTTTAATTTTAAATTTGTTCTATATCTTTCACTATACTCATTTTCTAAATACTGATTTTTTTGAGAGGTCAGATTTTATAGCTGGTAAAAACAGAAAAATAAGAAAGGGATCACAATGAATATTACCACTGTTTTGGTTTCAATGTTTTGAAGTTCTCTTCAGTCCTCCTGTATTAGTCTTTGCATTGCTATAAAGGAATAGCTGAGACGGGGTGATTTATAAAGAAAAGACGTTTATTTGGCTCACGTTTCTGCAGACCATACAAACATGGCACCAGCATCTGCTCAGCTTCTAGTGAGGCCTCAGGAAGCTTTTACTCATGGTGGAAGATGAAGGGAGAGCAGGCACATCACATGGCAAGAGAGGGAGCAAGAGAGAGAAGGTTCCAGGCTCTTTTTAAACAACCAGCTCTCACATGAACTAAGAGCAAGAATTCACTCATTACCACAAAAACAGCACCAAGCTATTCATGAGGGATCCACCCCCATGACTCAAACACCTCCTACTAGGCCCACCTCTAACACTGGAAGTCACATTTCAACATGAGATTTGGAGGGGACATCCAAATCATATCACCTCCCTTGACTGTAATTCAGCTAATTGCTGAAGTTTATCAGTATTAAGAAGACTCTCTCTCTCTTCATACCACCAGCTTTCACGCATTCATCCTACAAATATTTACGAAGAGCCTGCTGCACCAGGCTCTCATACCTTAGCCGTCCGGCCTGCCCCAAGCCATCTGTGTTCCTATAGTTCTACACCCATTTCCAGGTGTTTCTGGTAGTATGAAATTTATCTCACTTTCTTACTCCAAATATGTTGATAGTTCTCCATAGTGTCCTGAATAAAAACCCAGTTCAATGGCAGTAACATTGAACTCGGTCTCGGAACAGTTGGGTTATAGTTCCGGCTCTGCCATTGACCTTCACCTCAATGCACTTCAGTTTCCTCATCTGTAACCAACAGAGCACCATGGTAACTAGTCTAGGGGACTTCAGTTGTTATTCACAACAGAAATCATTTTTCATTCCCATTTTACACCTGAAGAAACAAGAGTCACTCTAGTTAAATGATTTGCCCAGAGCTGTTCGGCTAGGGGCTAGAATATAAGAATGTGAGAAAGCGTCTGAACCCAAAGCTCTTTCCACAACATCCCTGTATATAGGATTGTCTGAAACGGCTCCCTTTTTGTACTGGCTGATACAGTAGCCACCAGCTATATGTGGTTATTTAATTAAAATTAAATCTCAGTTCCTCAGTCACACTAACTACATTTCAAGTGCTCAAAAGCCACCTGTGGCTCATGGCTGCCATATAGGCAGTACAGATTCTCAGACACTTCTGTCAGCACAGGTTTTTTCAGACAGGCTCTAAGTTCTAGTTAGCACTTGGCTTCTATGATTCCCTGATTTCTCAACCTGTCCTGCGAGTCCTACCAGGGTCTGACTCCAGCTTCTCTTTACTGTTGGGTTACTCATGACTCCTAGCCAGGCTCTTGATGTGCCTGCCAGACTGGGCTCTATTTCTATGTCCCCCATTGTACCTAACACCATGCCTTCTATTAAGCAGAGAGTAAACATATGGATGGATAGATGGACCTATGGAAGAAAGGAAGAGAGGAAAGAAGGGAGTGGCATACATTCATGCTTTCATTAGACAAATACTTATTGAGTGACTGCTATGTGTTAAGCACTTTTAGGTTCCTGGGATTACTATAGTGAACAGACAAGATCTCATGAACCTTCTGTCTGGTTGGGTGGAAAAGTGGGGAACAGATCATAAAGAAGTTTACAGGTAAATAAAATTTCAGATAGTGCCAAGTGTTACAAAGAAAATAGCATGATGTGCTGAGGGACTGGAAGTAGGAGTGGATCTGGGAAAACTATAGATATGGTGGTCTGTGATGAGGTACCATTATGAACCCAAATCTAAATAATCAGAAGGACCATCCTTGGTAGATCTGAGTGGTACATATTCCATGAAGAAACTTTGCTGCTGAAATAATACTTTTGCATACTTTGATGAGATGTATCATTTGTCAGCTTCTGATATATGAGCCAATATAAGTACCCAGTTTAATAATTTTAAAATTACCCTGGAGGAAGGCTGCAACAAGGAAATGGGTGAAACCATTAATTAAGACAGATTAATACGTAGTCTATTAAAGTTGAAATGGCATTTATCTTCTATGATGTTCTCTTTTGTTGTATAGCTTTGTTCCTGGACCATATAAAGCTACCCTCAAAGAAGATGTATTACAGAAGGCAAAATTCTTTCAAGATAAAAAATATCTTACAAGAGTAGCAAGAAGTGGCAGAGATGATGCTATTCAAAATTTTATCAGAAACACCTCCCATACCTTTAAGAATGGAAGAAGGGTGACAAAAAGTGCTCCCAAATGACGTGGTAAAAAAAAATGCTTGAACAACTTAGCCTTAGGAAGCATAGTAAGACTCTGGACTTAAATAGTAACTAAATCTGCTGCCAGAACTCAAGCAACAGTTTGTAGGTTATCAGGTGACTTGACCCCTGCATTCATTGGTATTAAGATATATCTTGTTCATTTATTTGACCACTCCTGACAATTCCAGCACTCTACAGCTGATACGTCCAAGAACTGTTTCATTAGAAGACAGAAGAATGAAAGAAGTGTTTTGAAAAGTCTAATGGAGATATAAATTGAAGGTAAAATTTATATGATGTATGCATATGTGTACATGAGTCAATGTTAATTCTTTTATCTCTGTCCAGTTCATTTCCTGCAAACCCATCCTCCTTTCCTAATTTAGTAATGTCTAACGCTCATCTATTTAATCAAAGTTATTTTTAAATGTTTTAAGCTACTCCAAAATTTACCCTAGAAATGGCTGCTGTTTATATGTCATATTTTTAAAATTTGACCTTCTATTCCACTTAAACACACCACTGTGGGAGTTGTTTGCTTGGACTGATGAGAAGAGGGTAATTTTCTCCATCTCTAAATCCTCCTAAACTCACTGAAAAACTCATTAATTCCCACAGAATATAAATTATTGCTTTTGAGCTGGAAGTTTTCTCTTCATTAGGAAGCTTACTGCCATTTTGATGGAGCTTGAAGCCATTTTGATGGAATTCTAGTCTGTCTTTCCTGTTATGGTCATTTATTAATTTTCACTAATTCATATATGCTTTAGACAAGGAGAGTCAAGACACAACTTGTCATAGATGAAGCTCAGAGTTACTTTTACCCATCAGGTAGCTGTTTAGTCAATAATAAACAGCACCAAAACAGGATTGGCAGAGCTCTTAAAAACAGCCTTAAATACACGCTGAGTTTAGAAAAATGTAAGAAAATAATTGTTTTAATCTACAAATTCATATGCAGTTGCAGAGATGCAAAAGAGATCAGAGTAAAAGTATGAAAGGTTTTAGAAGTACCTAGTCTCTAGTAGCATGCTCTGATAGCTGTGTCCTCATCTGCATTTAATTTTTCTTTTTATGATAGGGCTGATATTTTCAACAACTAAACACCCGAAGTATTATAGCATTATTTAATTTAAACACAGTGTTCAGACCTTACCTCAGTCTAAGAGCTGGCTCCACAGTTGGTAGCAATGGCCCTGTTAGGCAGACTGTCCCCCTCTTTGGGAACGGCAAGAAGCCCTGCTTGGATGCATGGAGTGGATGGATACTGACACCAAGGACATTCAGATTTTCTTTCCTATACCTATTTTCATAAAACTTGGAAAGACAAACTATTTGCAGCATTTTTTAAAAACCACTTCTGCCATTCTTACTTAGGTAAATCCAGAGATAGCACCTAATGTCTTCAGAGGAGACAGAAGTTCAAGGAGTTAAATGTCACATTCATACTCAGGTAGCAGAGAAGAATAAAACACATCAGGTTTGCTTCATCTATCCTAAGTGGTGCTTAGAGGTTCAGGAAAAATGTCTCAAGTACAGGATATTAATGAGCAATATTTACAATGTATTTTAATAAAAGGGATTTTTCTAGTTAACTCTGAGTTAAGCACAAACTTTTGTTAATTGTTGGAAATACCATTAAGATGTATTTGTCTGTTTTTCTGCATTGGCAAGTAAAGAACACCAAACAAGTATTCCCTTGGTGACAGATTATTTTTAGCATTTTGGGCCATCTTTTGAATCACTAATAGGTGAGAGCTCTGAAGCATGCTGCAAATAGAAGTTCCTTTTTAAAAATGCCTAATATTAGTATTTTCCCTGATTTACCTCTTTCTCCTAAAAGTAGAAACAGCAAAAATTAAGTTGAATATAAATGTAATAAAGCTATATTTAACCCAAGAATCACACAAGCAGGATGCTTCTTGGTTTAAAAATGTGAATTAATCGACTGTAAAGGAACTGCCTCCCATTATCTCTGCACTGAGCTATGACTCAAACTTATTTTTTTTTAAGTAGAGGTCAAAAGGAGATGCAACTTAACATGGCATCAGATTGTAATACTTAGAATTCAACCAAATAACTTTTTTCTAAAACTGGGGCTTTTCTGTGGGGCAAGGGGACAGAGAAGAATGGGTGGTAGCAGGAGATAAGGGGAGAAAAGGATCATATCTCTGTCAGCCCACTCCATTTTTTTTTCTTAGCATTTCCCACATTTATCAGTCTTACAGCTTATCTAATGGCTCCAGGCTGAAGTCCAATCTCAGCATTAGAGTTTCTATATCAAAAAAAATTTTCCCCAACCCCCTGCAGACTCAATCTGACTTAGTGGCTAGAAACCCTGTAAATATGGTTTTGGCAGACATTAAGGGGAAACAAAGGCAAGGCAACATGACAATGCCAAATTTGAAGCTATCTAGGCCTAGTTAGTCCATCATTCCTAACTTTGACGTTTCTGAATGACTGGCATTTTCTGACAGTTTTGTTGTTTACCTGTCTAAAAACTAAGTGCAGCTGGCTCTGTATCTGTGGGTGCTCCACATCCATGAGTTCAACCATGGATAAAAAGTATTCAGAAAAAGATGTTTGTGTCTGTACTGAACATGTACAGACGTTTTTCTTTTCATTCTCTAAACAATACAGTATAACAATTTATATAGCATTTATAGTGTATTATATCACAAGTGATGTAGAAATAATTTAAAGTATATGAGAAGATGTGTGTAGATTATCTGCAAATACAACATCATTTTATGTAAGAGACTAGAGCATCTGTGGCTTTTGTTATCCTTGGGAGGTCCTGGAACCAATGCCCCAGAGATACCTAGGGATGATTGTATTGAATCATGAAACTAGATATATGCTTTGTAAACTACATGTACTGTAACTTAATTATATAATTATAAAAATACAGAAAATTCTTAGCGTATTTCTAAGCAAGCAGGCTTTTCTCTTGGCTGAGATTTTTATAGACTCATGTAACTAATTTTAAACTAAAATATTCTGAATACCATAAACCCTTCTACAAGTGGATGAGAATTAAATATGGAGACAGTCTGTATGCAAATAGCAATCCATAACCTTGAAGGGTTTTATCTTAGTGGAAAAGACCAATTTTGGCCTTTTAAAAATGTCTATTTTTGGTGTACTTTGAACTTTATTTTTCTTTTTCATGCATTCAATAGTCTATACTGGATAAAAGCAACCTGTTGGGCCAAGTGTCAGAATTTATGGTACAGTCCATAAAAAATAATGATGGCCAAGAGGAGGCATACTTGTATAACTAATATGCAGGAAATCAATTCTATAATGTTAAATAACTAATAAGGCAGACTGTAAAACACACAAGAAATATTAGAGCAGAAAGAGCACAATATTTAGAGTCCAGAGATTTGGACCTAACGCCTGGTTCTGTCACTGATTCCTTGTGACATCGAGTCCATTTCTTCACCTTAGAACAAATGCTGCTGGAGAGATTATTCCTCTGCTTAAATTTACCATTTAAAAACACCACCAAAAACACAAACACTTAGGATGCACGAATACAGTTTAACTGCTTTGAATAGCATTTTTAATAGCAAAAATGTGTTTATACTTATAATAGCTTACAACCATCTTTTCAACCATCTTTTTCAATACAAAATAAACATTCATTTTCATATTTTATATTTCTCACCTCTATAACATATACAATAAAAATCCCAGACATTGTTGGCTGGCTGATTCTTGCAAAGAGATGCATAAGTAAACTAGTTAAGTACATCTTAACCATTTTGGGTATCATTTAGTCAGTCACGAAACAGTAATATAGAGACATAATTTTGAAAATTAAGCAAATGAATCTGTTCTCTAGAAATGCCTTTTGAGTTATAGTAGTATATTTATAACTTTATTACAATTTATACAAATCAGTAGGTTTTTATTTCCACACCTTCACAATCCCATCTCTAGAAGCAGTTACAATGAAGCCCTGTGTTGTCTGGAATGTGGCGACATCAGTGATGATGTCGTGATGTCCCACGGGCAGGGACTCTGGGCCCCTTCGAGGGGTGTCATCACTTGGTCCTACCTTCTGCTTATTCTGAATTTCCTGTCAGGGAGCAAGCCAGAAGTTAAAAGTCTGTACCACATTCTTCCTCTCGTCAATAGTCTTTGCTTCTGAGATGCTGTTGTATTTAAGTTAACACCTTTTGTAAAGTAGTCATGCTTTCACAAATACACTGAGCAAAAGGAGCAGAAGAGCCAAAAATGACATTCCAGGGTCCTAGTCATTGGATTTCATAAGTAGCCACTTACAGATATGGAAAACTTATTTTAGGTCAATATTCCGTGCATATTAACTTTTGCCAACATCAAAAGAAAAAAGGGATAGAATATAATCAAAAGAGGTATAGCCAGGCACGTTGGGTCACACCTATAATCCCAGCACTTTGGGAGGCCAAGGTCTCCCAAGTCACAAAGTCAGGAGATCGAGACCATCCTGGCCAACATGATGAAACCCCGTCTCTACTAAAAATACAAAACTTAGCCAGGTGTGGTGGCACACACCTGTAGTCCCAGCTCCTTAGGAGGCTGAGGCAGGAGAATCGCTTGAACCCGGGAGGCAGAGGTTGCAGTGAGCAGAGATCGTGCCACTGCACTCCAGCCTGGCGACAGAGCGAGACTCCATCTCAAAAAATAAAAAATAAAAAAAGGTATACATGACCAGAATATAAAAAATACATAGCAGACGTTCTAGCACTTCTAAAGCTCATTAATATTTGTCATGAAGGAAGCACACTTTTATTTATGGAACACCTACTTTGGCCCAGGTACTAAGGGTATATTCTCTCACTTGAAGTTTCTGCCTGAGTCAAGAATACAAACTTTACAGTCCCAAAGCCAGGTTTGAATCCCAGCTTTCTGTTTACTAGCTGTGTGACCTTGAACAAGTTACTTAACCTCACTGTGCCTTTTTCATTTGTAAGAGGATAATAAAAGTGCTTCCTTACGATGTTATAAAGTACATACTGGTCATTTGAGCTATTACTTATATGCACTTTCTTTATGCTTATTTTACCTTAATAAAAGTTAATTTTTTTTAATTCAAGAAAAAATAAATCTCCTAAATTCAAAGTACTCCTCGCTTGGTCACGTCATTTATTTTAATTCTGTTTACAAAAGCCATGTTTGTGCTTACAAAAGTTGAATGAAAAGACTACAGTACCTGGACAACTTCAGTGCCTTCAATTATTTTCCTGTAGTAGGACACAGATGGGGAACTAGTACTTCCTGCAACAACATAGGACCTTTCTGGGTAGGCCAAGTCCCAAAACCTAGGGAAGAGGAAATAAATGACAATCTTTATAGGACAATGAGAGGAACTAATAATCATTGGCTTATCTTCATCAATGCATTGTTTTTCTTTTGCGTTAGAAAAAGAGGTTTTTATAGAACAGCATACCATTGGTTACAAGTAAAGTATTAACAGTTGTCCTTATGATTTTAAACATTACAGTGCCATCAGTATCTGTAATAACAGCTTGTAAAAGTATCCATTTTATTCTTTAAGTATTTGTTGAGATCGTGTACCTTATTTTCATATCGGAGCCAGCTGTTAGCAGGATAGGATTTCCGTCTGCAGGACTACAGTAGATACCATGGACGCTATGAGGAGAAGGCTTAAAAGAAAGAAATGTGCAGTCAAATAAAAGACATCCGTGTATTCCATAAGTGATGGTGCTATTTCTAGAGGCAAGTTAACTGTCAGTAGCTTTACAAGCACCTGGTTACCTGAAGAAATGAGAGACCAGTTATGTATGCCCTATCTACCTCAATCTGGGCTTTTCCTAATTAGGCTAGATCTCACTGGGGTTCCAAAGAGACATCACAAGCTTTATGGGCTAGCAACTTATTTACCCACTAATGCAGAACACTAGCAAGGAAACACTCATGTAGCAATGGCCACATGATACTTGATGTTATTAAAAACCCAAATTTAAACATAACCCAAAAGCCCAACAGATACTAGGTTTGATTAAATGCCTGAAAGTACTTAGGATGTAGGGAATAATATCATCCTTTACAGTAAAAACTGTAAAAACTGAAGTCAAACCTGTAATTCAGAAAGTGGTGGTGCACTGCTGGCCCAGAGAGTAAATCTTCTGTCACCAGTCTCCATGTCCCACATGGACACTTCATTGTTGCCCTGAACAGCTAAAAGAGACAAAGGCCAGAATCTAGACTCCGACAAAAAGAGTTGGGGAAGATTACAACAAAACAAATTGCAGTCCTGAGAGAAAGACAAATCTCTTTCTTTCAGGGGGAGAGACAATATAAGAGGCTTTATTCACTTATTAATATTTACTGAGCCAGTAAATATTTTTACTATGGGCTAGTCATTGCGCTAGGCACTGAAGAAAAGATGGCAAAGCAGAAAAATTCCCAGTTTCATGGAACTTCCATTCTAGTGGGGACAATAGACAAAAATGCAAAGGCCTTTCTGAAGCAGGCGTGTGCTTAGTTGAAAGAACAAGTCAGTGTGGCAGGAACAGACTGAGAATGGGAGATAAGTAGGAGAAAGGGCAGTAGTGCTGGTCACTTTCCATTTGCTGCTCTAAATCTGGCCCAAATGAACCACATCAACAAGCTCCTGTACCCCCTCTGGCTGGGTTTGCCAGCCTGTGATAGGCTAAATAATGGCCCCAAAAGTATCCAAGT